AAAAAAAAAAAAAAATCTGTTTTTAAACCAGGAGCTAGTAGAGTTTTAGTATGTTTCACTCTCTTTTCTGTTTATTTTTATTTTTTTAAACATTCTTAAATTTAAGTTCAATTAACTGACATAATGTATTATTGGTTTCACAGGTAGAGATCAGTGATTCCTCAGTCTTAAATTTTACTTATTTATTTTTAAAATTCAAGTATAATTAACATAGTGTTAGTTTCAGGTGTACAATATGATGCAACAATTCCCCCACCTACCTCCCCTCTGGCAGCTACCACTTCTCTATATTGAAGAGTCTGCTCTGTGTTAACTACACTGGAATTAGATTTTTTTTTTTGAAGTTTTTTTGGGGACACCTGGGTGGCTCAGTCGATTAAGAGGCTGCCTCAGGTCATGATCCCAGGGTCCTGGGATCAAGTCCCACATCAGGCTCCTTGCTCAGCAGGGATCCTGCTTCTCCTTCTGCCTGTAGCTCCCCCTGCTTGTACTCTCTCGCTCTCTCGCTCACTGTTTAGCAAATAAAAAAAAGTGTTTTTTGGTCTCCATTTGTCCTTGTTCATTTGTTTCTCAAATTCCACATATGAGTGAAATCATGGTATTTGTCTCTGACTTATTTCACTTAGCATTATACCCTCTAGAAACATCCCTGTTGTTGAAAATGGCAAGATTTCATTCTTTTTATGGCTGAATAACATTTACTTAGTTGCAGAAATATGCACATTTAAAGAAGGGAAAGAGAAAGATATGCTAAAAATGAAGAATAAAAGGGAATAAAATTAGACCTATTAGTTGAAAATGACATGGCTTAAGGGTACCTGGGTGGCTCAGTCGTTAAGCGTCTGCCTTTGGCGGCTAGGTCATGATCCCAGAGTTCTGGGATCGAGCCCCACATCAGGCTCCCTGCTCACTGGGGAGCCTGCTTCTCCCTCTCCCTCTGCCTGCCACTCCCCCTGCTTGAGCGCTCTGTCTCTCTCTGTCTCTGTCTCTGTCTCTCTCTCTCTCCCTGTCAAATAAATAAAATCTTGGAAAAAAAAAATGATGTGACTTACTTAGAAACCACAATCATGAAGTTTTCATAATTGTTTGGGTAGTAGTTTGAGACTAGGGAAATTGCTGAATAGAATAAAATTTATTTTTCCCCTTCAAATTAAAAAATGAAAGTTATAATTCAGAACTTTCCATCTGTGAAATGCATTTTTTCATATTTGTACAATAATTCCTATTATGGCAGGGCTCATATAATGGGAAATGGAAGCAGAGAAGCAATACACATTGTGGTTAAGAACACAAACTTCAGAGCTAAACCTGGATTCAAATCCTGACCATAGAGTTGGAGCTGTGTGACCTTGGGCTAATTACTTATTGTCTGAGTTTGTGTTTTTGTCTATTAAATGGCTGTTCAATACTTCTTAGGCTGTTAAGGATTAAATGAAATTTTAAAACCTTTCACAGAGAATACCTGAAACATTGTAAGTTTACAATGATTTTATCTTTAAAATTTTATTCTTTTACCCTAATCTGTGTTGGTGTTTGAATTATTAGATGTTGTTACATATGTTATAGAAACCTAAATCTGGAATATCTAATTTTTAATTAAGACTTCATCGCCTGATTCTTCCAATGAAAATTCCCCGGCAACTCCCCCAGATGAACAAGGTCAAGGTGATGCCCCACCACAGCTTGAAGATGAGGAACCTGCATTTCCACATACTGACCTGGCAAAGTTGGATGACATGATCAATAGGTGAGTTGGTTTGTTTTGTTAATGTGTGTAATACACAGGAAAGCCAACAGTTTCTCAGCATAGTTATTAGTAGTTAGAAAAGAGAAAGAGTGGGCAGAAATATCACAGTAGTCATGTTGCCTCAGTAGCCTTAACATTTTAGTTCTTACCAAATACTTTGTATTTGTAACCCATGGTTCTTAATCATGGAGTAACAGTGTCAATAAAGTTTTCAGATTAATGATGATGACCCATGCTGGTATGTTTCTGAAGTAGAACCATATATGTGATTTCCCTCTTTCAGAGTATATGAAGTTTTTTTTTTTCTTTTTTTGTATGTTGGTTGCTACGATAGCTGGATGATTTTCTTAATTTTTGCATGGTCCTGAGGTAAGCCAGGTCATTAGAACATCGAGTTCCTCAGAGCCTGCCCCTTGTGAACCCTTAACTAGACTGAGGCATTTAACCATCTTGGCTATTTGTTTCTCTTGATCTTCACCTCAGGGGCAAGTTCAGGGTATAATTTTTTATACTTGAAGTGGAAGACTCCCAGAGAGTGAAAGTTTAAGCTTATGTGCAGGGGAAGAAAAAGATTTAAAGAAGATACGGAAAGAGTGTGTTGGGGAATTCCTACCTGGCTGTGGGTTCAACAAGTGAGTGCTAGGGAGGTGTGACACATTCCCCCCCACCCATAAAAAGGAAAGTAAGGAAAATACACACACGTGTAAGCATTTGCCTTACCAGATTTTCTTGTTGTATTTCACTTTCTAAAAATCCGTTAACACTGTTAATGTATATAATAGGAGGGAAATAGAAAACCCCTTGCATTTTTTTTCCAAAAAATTCTGATTACATAAGTAATAAAAGTATGTACTATTAAACATGGAAATATTATGTTGATAAAGTCCTACAGTATCCTTCTGTACACACATCCCAACAAAAAATTACTAATAAGAAGTATGCTCTTCAGATTACGTTACTATCATTTGTTTTTTTTTTAAAGATTTTATTTATTTATTTGAGACAGAATGAGAGAGAGCGAGCACATGAGAGGGGGGAGGGTCAGAGGGAGAAGCAGGCTCCCCGCCGAGCAGGGAGCCCGATGCGGGACTCGATCCAGGGACTCCAGGATCATGACCTGAGCCGAAGGCAGTCGCTTAACCAACTGAGCCACCCAGGCGCCCCACGTTACTATCATTTGTATTGATTTTTCTACAGATACGAGATTTTTACTGTATCATTTTGCAACTTGCTTTCCTCACTTCATTTATCTTAAAAATTTTCCTATTAGTGTATTTTTAACTTATTGTTTTTAATAGTGTATTTGAAAGAACACATTAACTGTGATTCCAGGAGATGCCTATAATAATGTTATACAATGAATTGTAGTAAAAAAAAAAAAAAAATCATGTAAAGTTATTTTAATGTCCCTGACTGTTCTTTCTCTAAGAGAGACCTAACAAAAGGTTTTCCTGTTGCTCTTTGCTTTCTGTCTGGTGATTGGTGGTTGTTAGTAAAGGGTACTTCCTATGCAGACTTGAGGACAAAGTTGCATATTAGCAGATTTTCAGGGGAACAGAAATACAAATGATATTTTAATGTAAATAAAAACAATGACAAAGGTGGTATGCGTTTGTTTTTAATAGATTATACAGTCATGGAGCACTTTTTCTCAAAACCAGGGTTTTGGGAGCAGTGAGGAGGGTGAGGAGGAAGGGAAAGGGAAGGATGGCCTCGGAGATGGTTGGGCTGCCACTGGGGCCAGAGAAAGCACCACCTGGGTGCATGCTGCATCCTTGTTGGAGGGAGGAGGGTACCTGTGGAGGCAGAGAGACCTGGAGATCCACGTCTCATTAACCTTCAGGAAAAATCGACAGATTATGAATTGAGGCAGTAATCTGTTACTTTCCACCTAAATTTTTCTCCTTTGTGAGGAAATTGAAGACCGCTAAGAGATTCATGATAACGAATCCTGAAAGAGCACATTCCTGTGAACTTGAACAATAGGTATCGTTTAATTGATACTTGATTATTATGGCAGTTTTATGTTTATGGTAGTTTTATGGTAGTTAAAATAATTTCCTCACCCCCCTTGCTGTCTTTTGTTTGACAGTTCTTAAAAAAAAAATTGTAGAGAGGACAGATGGAACTTAGTTTCACAGAGCAGATATTCTGCCAACCTTGTTGTTTTAATATTTTAATGTTTTTTAATATTAATATTTTCATGGTGAGATGAGTAATTATAATTAGTAACTCATTTATAGTGCTTTAGAGTGCCACCAATAAACAGCTTTTTATATTTTTAAAACCCTTAGGCCTCGATGGGTGGTTCCAGTTTTGCCAAAAGGGGAATTAGAAGTGCTTTTAGAAGCTGCTATTGATCTTAGTAAAAAAGGTAAGTTTAGATGTTCTTATGGTTTTCATAATGTATGCTACTCATACACTTTCAGTTCATCCCTGAAGACTTCATTTCTTATAAACACTTACTGGATATTCCTAGACCAAAACATCTAACTAAGTTTTCTTGCTATGGCTTATCATATATCCCTAGAACATAGGGTTCAGATCCTTTGGACAGCCTTCAGAGGGTGTTTGTGAACTCATTGAAGTCACACATAAAATTTGTGTATATTCATTTTTAAACTAAACTGTCTAGTTTACATGTTGACTGTTCTTTTTAATATACTGAAAAGATTTGATTTTTTTCCAAAAGATAAAAACGCTTGAAAGATGAGCTCTAGTGTTTTTATCTTGTCTAGAAGTGAAAGCTGAATTTGGAATTGATCATTTTTTCTAATGACTTTGGTCTGCTTTAGGTGCAGTTGAATTCTCTTAGCAAAGGACAACTGTTAAAATATTCTCTTCACTTTTAAGGCATTGGAAATTAAGATAAATGGCAGTAACATTTCAATTTCTGAAATAGGGTAGCCATGGATGTATTCTAACTATCATTAGGCATTATCACAGTTGAAGTTGATCATTACAAAAATTAATCTGCTTACATCCGTCTCACCATGGCAAGGGTGATACTTCCTTTATCTTAGAATAATTAACTTCCTTCATTTAAAGAATGTCTCTACACCTTTTTAATCTTGTAAAAATAATAAACTACAAAAATACATTTCCAGATTGCAATTATTTACCACCAAATTTCTTTTGTTCATTTGCACATTAATTAATTAATTGAGCAATTTTTTGAAGAATTTTGCACTAGGCATGTTCTACGTTCTGACTGTATAATTATAGGTAAGAACACATAATGGTATTTCATTTAATATTCATGGACATTCATTGGACATGTAGCCCCCCTACCTCTATCTTTCTTTTCTGGGACCGTGGTTTATTTTAGGCAAAGTTCAGATTTTCAGATACAATACTGAGTTTAAATGTCCTCTCTTCTGTACAATCAAACTCACAGAACACTATAAAAATTGAATAACTTTTCACTTTGTCCTCAAGCGTTAAAGATTTTCAAGGGGTGCCTGGGTGGCTCAGTTGGTTGAGCTTCAGACTCGATTTCGGCTCAGGTCACGATCTCAGGGTTGTGAGATCAAGCCCCGAGTTGGGCTTCACGCTGAGTGTGGAGCCTGCTTAAGATTCTCTCTCTTTCTCTCTCCCTCTGCACCCCTCCGCGCCCCCCGGGGCTCCCCCATGCACACATGTGTGCTCACTCACTTTCTCTAAGACAAAAAAAATAATTATAAAAGAAGAGTTAAAGATTTTCTCTGTTTGGCCGGGCAGGGCATTTGGCTCTATTGCCTTTCTGAAATCAGATGAAATCAAGCAAAGCTATAAAGAAGCATAGATGCTGGGACAGTGAAAGACACTAAGACAAAACAATTCATCTTACTCAATGAAATACTTACATAGAGTAGTGTTAAGGATATTGGTGTCTAATGGATCATTTACAACCAAAATAAGATTTTATTTTTTTTTTTAAGCCAGGTTTTTTGTTTTTTTTTTTTTTTAAGATTTTATTTATTTGAGAGAGAGAGAATGAGTGAGAGAGAGCGCACACATGAGAGAGGGGAGGGTCAGAGGGAGAAGCAGACTCCCTGCTCAGCAGGGAGCCCGATGTGGGACTCGATCCCAGGACTCCAGGATCATGACCTGAGCCGAAGGCAGTCGCTTAACCAACTGAGCCACCCAGGTGTCCCCCAAAATAAGATTTTAAAAATAGTTGTGAAACATCATTTTCTAAGTTTTAAAGTTTATTTTCAGAGAGTAAAATGCTATGAAGCATTTAGATTCCCTCTCAGTGGTACTGGTAACCATTTTGCATTTCAAGTCTAGTGTCATGATTTGAAATGTTTTCAATTCACCTTGCTTGATGTACTTTTATACAATTAAATAGTTTTGAAATTCTTTGAAGATTGTGTTCCTGAATCAGTTACCTTCTTAACACCTAGGAACTTTGATAATACTTGTGTATTTTTTTGACCTCTTAACAATAGATAATGCTGTGAGTTTTTTCCAAAGCTAGTGTGAATTTCTTAGCTATTGGTGAATAGTTTAAATTATTTATTACTTTTTTTTTTTTTAAGATTTTATTTATTTGACAGAGAGACAGCGAGAGAGGGAACACAAGCAGGGGGAGTGGGAGAGGGAGAAGCAGGCCCCCGATGAGCAGGGAGCCCGATGTGGGGCTCCATCCCAGGACCCCTGGGGTCATGACCTGAGCTGAAGGCAGATGCTTAACGACTGAGCCACCCAGGCACCCTTTATTACTTTTCATCATATACTTGGACATTTTGAGACAACCAGAAAAATGCTTTGTTTACATTAATTTTCATTCCCTTTTTTTAGGCCTTGATGTTAAAAGTGAAGCATGCCAGCGATTTTTCCGAGATGGGCTAACAATATCATTCACTAAAATCCTTACAGATGAGGCAGTAAGTGGCTGGAAGTTCGAAATTCATGTGAGTCTTGCATTTGACTTTAAAAAACCAGATTTTCATAGTGATGCCTGGGAGTTGTTTTCCTATATATATATATATAGGAAATATATATATATATATACACACACACACACATACATACATACACACACATAAGATACATATTTGGTTGTATATTTGATACATTAATTGAATTAAAGCGTGTAATACTGAGGAACTTTAAAAATACTTGTTATAAGTTCTAATTTCTATCTAAGAAAGCATGATCTTTTAGGAATGTGAGGTTTAGAATTAGAGACCTTGGTTTAATATGTCTCCTGGATTCTCAAGTGCCTTGTGACCTTAGGCAAGTCACCACGTTTCATTAATTGTGAGATGCACCACACACTCATTTTATGTACCACTAAAGAAGGAAAACACCCAAGATGGGGAATCTAGTATCTAGGACACAAAGGGTCAATGTAGAGAAATAAACTTAACCATACAGAAAGAGATGTGAAAGGAACCTGTATGTCTCAACCATGGCATCTTGGGGTAAAAGTCTCCTGAAAATTTAAACAACAGGCCAGTATTCAAAGAGTTTGGTCATTTGAAATCAAATTATAGTTGTGAAACAAAAAAAATCCTTAAATGGTCTAAGGTTCGTGGTATGCCCAAGTGATTGGCAGAAGCAAACACAGGTTTTCTCTACAACACCTTCAGTTGAAGAAACTACTATGCATTGATTATAAGATACAATGAAATTTCAGAGATTTTAAAAAGTAAAAGAACATGCATCTTAGATTGATGAAATGCCATAATTACTCCGAGTCTCTGTTCCCTATTCATACTGTGGAAATCTGGTCATAGTTGTGAGGCAGATATTTTTGTGCTCTGTGAACTATTTTTCAAATATAACCATAGCACAAAAATCCCACCATCTTCTAATTCAACATGTAACTTTATAAGTAAAGAAATGGAAACTTTGGAGGTGCTATCAGACTTTTTCACTGAGGCTTAGATAACAAATCTTTTCCATCTTGGATAGTTAATATATTGTATAGATTTTAGAATTGCTGCCTCTAGAGTACAAATTCCAAAGAGGAGAAAAAATAGTAATTTGCGTCTTGTCTGTAGACACAGGACAGTACCTACTTCATTCTGTAAGCTGTTGCAAATGGCCTTTTGAAGTACTCTATAAAGGATAGTAAATGTTAATTTGGTTTTTTGATCTGTCAGTTTGATCCCAATATTAAACAATTCAAATGATCAGTGTAAACAAATGGAGAGATGGAGTTGTAATGTTTTGATCTTATAAATCACCTTTCCTCCTTATATTAAACAGAGGTGTATTATCAACAATACTCATCGCCTGGTGGAGCTATGTGTGGCCAAGTTGTCCCAAGACTGGTTTCCACTTCTAGAACTTCTCTCCATGGCCTTAAATCCTCATTGCAAATTCCATATCTACAATGGTACACGTCCGTGTGAATCCGTTTCGTCAAGTGTTCAATTGCCTGAAGATGAACTCTTCGCTCGTTCTCCAGACCCTCGATCACCAAAAGTGTGTTGGTTTGTTATTTTCATAATTAATACAGTTTTGCTCTGCCACAGAGCTGTAAAAGATCTGAACCACCTGTTAATGTGAAGAAGAGTAGTTTCATGTTACTATGAAGGGATTCTACATTATTTTGTGTTTTGGATTCTTTTTTCCTCCCTAGCTTTACTGAAGTATAATTGACAAAATTGTTTTAGACTGTGTTTTTTTGTTTGTTTGTTTTGTTGTTGTTTTTAGCTTTCTCCATGTAGTTAGTTCCCATTATCTTCTGCTCAGCCCTTTGGGAAATAGTCATAAAATGGGTTCTATGAAATATGCCATAATTTTCCTCATAAGTAAGAGTAGAATAGGAGGTGGCTTTGACCCAAGGCCATAATCACTGTGGACATTCTAATGTTTTGACTTCAGGATCAAGTATATCATACAAATGTCTAATAATGTATCATAAAAGTAAAATTATAGGAGTTATAAATGAAAGGAAAATAGTAAAACTTACAAATGTCAATGAAATATACATGATATCTCTGTAAAAGTTCTCAAATGTAAATTTTCTATATTGGCATAAAGCGTATACAAAACAAAAAATCTATCCTTAAACGGTTCATCTTTTAATAAATATTAAATAATATAGTTTTTAAATTTTATAATTAAGGGAGACATTTTTTTTTCTATTTTTTTATGATTTTTATTTATGTGAGAGTGAGTACAAGCAGGGGGAGGGGTGGAGGGAGAGGGAGCAGCAGACTACCCACTGAGCAGAGAGCCCAACCCAGGGCTCAGTCGCAGGACTCTGGCATTGTGACCTGAGCTGAAGGCATATGCTTAACCAGCTGAGCCACCCAGGTGCCCCTTTAGGGAGACTTTTTAATATTGTGGGCCTTATAAAAAGGAAAACCCAGCCAGTAAAATTTGAGTTTATACATATAACTTTAGGTTTATTCAATGTTAAAAGTGGAAATCCTCAAAATGTGTTAAACTGAGACCTGGGATTTTCTGATATTTCCCAAGATTAATATTGTTGCCACTTCATGCTTATTTTTGGTTTGGTAGATCAAATTATTATCTAAACAGTGACAGTCTCCAAAATATACCTGTATTTCTCTTTCTGATTTTTGCTCTATAGGTCAATGATAATCTTAAGAGACTCACAGGGAACAACTTGTTTTAAAATGGCTTCTGGTTGAAGATCTTTTTATATCTTTATTTGAAGCCTAGCTCTTCTTGAGTATTACTAATTACAGTGTTCCTAATTGCTTAAAGATACATTTTAGCTGAAAACATAAAGGAAGATTAGTTTTAGACTGATTTTTTTTTTTTTACTTTGTGCACATACAGTATTTTATATATACATATTATACATAACTATTGAGTATATCAGACTATTAGTCTCATTCCAGTTACTTGAGAAATTGAAATGCTGAATGCCATAAGGGACTGGTGAATTAAAATGCTCAGATTTTTAATTGTTTTGAATTAGCTTTTTAAAACCAAATGAAAAGGTAGGAAGATACTATAATGAACTTACATAGAAAAGTGTTGTTAATTTAGTGAAGAATTTAATTGATACATAAAATCCCATCAAAACTACCTTTAGCTTCCATATAATATTGTCCCTTTGAAAGCAGTTACCTTATACTTCCATTTTCCCTTTGTCCTGGACATGTTTTTTTGTTTTTGTTCTTGAGTAGCTGTAGAAATTACTTTTGCCTAAGACTTAGTGAAATTCCCTTTTTCCCCCATTGGTTTTCCCTCAGTGGACTCTAAAACGTGGCTTTTTAGAAGAAACCTAGGTATAAAGGGTCGTCTTGGGTACATAAATTTTTAGATAGATTTGATTCTTAGATCCGTATATAAACCTCTTAAGTTTCTACACGTAAGCATGCTTTTAACTCCACAAACCATTGGCTATCCCAATTTCATTGTGCTGTGAGTTATTGCTGTCCCTTAGGGAAGAGTGAAAGACAATCCATAGTTACTGCATCTGGTTACCTCTAAGCTGAGAATTGGGGCACTCACCTGAGCCAGCAAAAGCATCAACCAGCATGTTCTAGTCTGGAGCGACAGATATAATACCAGGGATTGGCTTTAATTAATAGTTCACTTTCAGGCTTTAAGATTATTGTATTTACAGGAAATTTTTAATTATTTACAACTACAATAAAAAATGAATTCAGACATTATCTTAGGTTACCACATATCTTTTTCTTATTTTTTAAAGAGGTTTTTTTTTTTTAATCCTCCTAAATTTTTAAAAATAACTTTCAGATAATAAGATATTCTCCTACAGTGGGATCTCTGAAATAGAAACATGGCTTCTAATGCCTATTCACCAGCTCTATTGGTACAACCAACCAACTGTGCCTTCGTGATCTAATCTGTACTGCTGCTTATGCTTTTTTCTCACAGACAGGATTACTGTGAATAATATGTAATATTTTATTTCAAAGATGATTTTACATGATGATTTTCTTTTATTGAGTTTCCTGTTTCTAGTTCGTTTCAATCAAGAAATTACTTCAGATGGTGCTTTTCTTTTTAAAAGCAGGAAGTCAACCTTTTTCATTAACTGTGTATTACAGGGTTGGCTGGTGGATCTTCTCAACAAGTTCGGCACTTTAAATGGGTTCCAGATTTTGCATGATCGTTTTATTAATGGATCAGCATTAAATGTTCAAATAATTGCAGCCCTTATTAAGTAAGTTATGTTTTTAAATGAATCTTCAGTGCGTTATAGGAATTGCTACTTAATTCCTTGATAAAAATATTCTTTTTTCAAGTATGGTTTCTTCTTTAACTGATAACTTGGATTCTTAAAAAAGTAATATAAGTATGAGTTCAGTCCTAGTTGATTGTAAGAAAATGAGTATTACAAGAGTTTTTTTGTTTTTTTTTTTTGTCTTGTTTCAGACCATTTGGGCAATGCTATGAGTTTCTCACTCTTCATACAGTGAAAAAGTACTTTCTTCCAGTAATAGAAATGGTTCCACAGTTTTTAGAAAACTTAACTGATGAAGAGCTGAAAAAAGAAGCAAAGAATGAAGCCAAAAATGATGCTCTTTCAATGATTATTAAATCTTTGAAGAATTTAGCTTCAAGGGTTCCAGGGCAAGAAGAAACTGTAAAAAATTTAGAAATATTTAGGTTAAAAATGATACTTAGGTAAGATATTTTCCTCTTGAAATAAACTGTGTGAATATTTAGAATCATATTTAACACTGAATTTCTGTTCTAGATTACTGCAAATTTCGTCTTTCAATGGAAAGATGAATGCACTGAATGAGGTTAATAAGGTGATATCTAGTGTGTCTTACTATACTCACCGGCATGGTAACCCCGAGGAGGAAGAGTGGCTTACAGCTGAACGAATGGCAGTAAGTCCTTTGGTTCTTCTTTCATGAATAAAAATCTGCCTAAGGCAAAAATTAGAATGGCTTTACCAAATGTTACAACATTTTAAAGAAAACCTTGAAACTGGGAGGTGTTGGGACTGATTTATGACTCAATCCTTGGAACTTTTTGTAATAGCATAGCTTATTTGGTAGTGACATAGGTATCTTTGCACATCTTCGATAAACTTAATGCTGAATGTAAGTATTCTGAAGTAATTATTAGCTTGTTTGGGTGGATTGGTTGAAATGGAGTAGATAAAGATGATCTTCAGAATAGATTGGATAGTATCTGGTATCTGATGAATGAAGTGGCCTTTTGTTCATTTGACTGATGCCACTTACAGATTTATACAATTACTGGAGTAAGATGTACGTGAATTAATGTTTTATTATTTTAAAAACTTAAGCACTTCTATTCATACTATCCTAATGTTGAATGTTTAGGAAACTTTATTTACCATAATACTTTTTTTTTTTTAAGATTTCATTTATTTTAGTGCACAAGTTGGGGGTCGGGCAGAAGGAGAAAGAGAGAGAGAGTATCTCCAGCAGACTCCCCAATGAGTGCAGAGCCTGGCGTGGGGATCAATCCCATGATCCATGAGATCATGACCTGAGCCGAGACTTAACCAACTGAGCCACCCAGGCACCCCTTACCATAGATACTTCTTTATTTTGTAGTTTTAAAATATATAAGTATGCCACTTGAAAAGTATTGATCGAATAACTTTAGTGCATAGTGTCTGACAGTACTGAGCAGACATCGGTAAAAGAACTGTCCTTGCCCTCAAGCCAGCCTCAGTTTAATAGGGGAGACAGTGATTAGGATGTGATAAAAGGTATGTGGAAGATGCGTAGACATTGGCTCTGTGTTAAGGATCAAGTGTTAAACATCTGATTTTGTATATGTGATTTGTTTGTCTACTTTGTGGGAATTCTGAACACAGTGCTTGTCAGAGTATGGTCTGAGGTCTGCTTCTGGTCCTTGAACTGTCGCCAATGCTAGAGGAGTACAGAAAATGGCATCAAGTGTTCAGAAACTTTTGTAGCAATTTGACATTGCCACATAATTCCTGTATTTTATAAATGTACCTGCAACAGGTTAGAAATAAAAATGGACCTTTACCACCTGAGAAGTGTACTTCTCCAGCACATTTGGGGTCTTAATACTTTTTTAATCTCATTAAGTTGAATACTGTAAATTACACAGTATGGGCTATTACCTTTTTGTATCATGAGTTAGAGTTTTCTTCTGTTGGTATAGATATTAAATAAATGCCAGTCAGCAACATAGCATAGTGTTACAGAAACGCAGACTTTGGAAGCATGCAGCCTTAATTCCAGTTCCACTTCTAACATTTCTGAGCCTTTTTATTCTTCCATAATAGGATAATATATCCCTCATTAGGATTGTTTGGAAGAGTAAAGTGCTATTGGATAAGCAGTAATAGCATAATTGGTTAATAAATAAAAGCAAAAGATTAAGAGGGCATGTTTTCATCAAAATCACAACCAATGTAAGGAAACCAAAAATGTTAAAATGGGTCTTGTACCCACTCTACCTAAACCACGGTGCTTGCTATATTTAAATAATACTTTTCTGTGTAAATGCTGGAGTAGAATCTTTTTAATAATTATACTATTTCTGAGTCATGGAAACATTTCTGTATGTGTAAAATTAAGTTCCATGAAATTATTTTGGTTTTTCCATAGTTGTGAATTAAAACAGCACATTAAGGCTATTACATTATTGTATTTATTTTGTATTTTTTAATTCATACTTAAGTTTAAAGTGTGAATGATATTTCATACGTATTTTTTAAAAAAGCTTGTGTTTCAGTTACTTCTTTAAATCAAGTTTTTGAATTATGTTTAGGAATGGATACAGCAGAACAATATCTTATCCATAGTATTGCGAGATAGTCTGCATCAACCACAGTATGTAGAAAAGCTAGAGAAGATTCTTCGTTTTGTCATCAAAGAAAAAGCTCTGACTTTACAAGATCTTGATAATATCTGGGCAGCACAGGTAAGAAATTTCATATGGTAACTATTTGGTTTCTAAAAGAAAGATACTAATAAAAACTAAAGGAATATAGTAGTTGTGAAACAGGATGAACACTTACATTGTTTGACTTCTAGTATGTTTAAATGCTCGTGATTTACAGAAATCTATTTTAAATAGCCAATAATACATATTTTTAAAGATCGATAAAAAAAATATGTATTTATTTTAGAGGAGGGGGAGAGACCGAGGGAGAGGGAGAGAGAGTCTTAAGCAGTGCGGAGCACGACACAAGGCTCAACCTCAAGACCTGGGCAGAAACCACGAGTCGGACACCTAACTGACTGCATCACCTAGGCGCCCCGAAATAATTAAATACATTCATAATTTGCTGTATGTTTGGTACAGGTTAGCAATTTGTAGGTGGTGGGTTTTTTTTTTTTTTTTTTTAATTTTTCCCTACAGATTTTTGACTCAAGTATTTTATTTACACAATGTTACATTAGTTTCTTCATAAACTTAATTAGAAAAAACTTTAATGTCAGTAGAGTTAAATCACTAGATTATTTATGAAGCCTTGTAATAGTCCAAAGGATTTATAGCTTTTCTGAAAGATAAGTAACTTTTTTGGTTTCATAGCTAGAAACTAGGTGATTCCTTTGATTACCTCAATGACAAGTTTCTACTGGGATCACTTGGGAAGTATTGTTGAGTTTTAAGATTACAAAGCTTCATGTTTTGAGTCTGTAGAAACCAAGAAAACATTCAGTTTGCCCTTTGAGTGCTTAAGGTTCCAGTTTTGGAACAGTACCATTGGTGTGCCTTATTGTTCTCCTACTTGCAATGTTGAAATTGGCACGTTAAATTCAGTAAATTGTAATAAAGGCTCACATGAATTCCCAAGTAACCATTAACCAGTATATCAAGGAATTAATTTGTCAGGCTTTAGAGGCCAGTTCTAAAGCATTTTTAAAATGTTAAGAATTTTCTTATGTTCTACACTTAGATGAAGCTGGTGGGAATAGTTTAATAGCTGCCAGCGGTTGTGTATACACAACTTATCTGCTGTTCAAATTCTAATATGCTATGTTACTTTTGGTTTTTCAATAGGCAGGGAAGCATGAAGCCATTGTGAAGAATGTACATGATCTACTGGCAAAGTTAGCGTGGGATTTTTCTCCTGAACAACTTGATCATCTTTTTGATTGCTTTAAGGTAATAGCATAGTAAAGTAGTGCCACTTCATTTTAATAAAATTACCTTATTAGATCTGTGAGTTGCTCTTAGCCAATAAATACTTCAATAGAAATTATTGAACAATTTCTGGTGTGAAGGAATTGGTCATTTTTTTTTCCAATGAGAACTTAATGTTCATTTTTATAATAATAGCCCTGATAAATACGGAATCTTTTAAACTCAGGTTGTGAGTATGGATTACTTTCCCCTAGCAGTTTGAATTTTTATTATAGGTTCAGATGCACTGTAGGACTTCAGGGAAGGATGATTGGTTGCAATAAAAAATAAAATGTCAATAACAAGGGATTACCAATAGCTTGGTATTCTGGGGTGATGTGCACAGGCAAATGGAAATGTAATTTATAAGGTAGCCCAAGAGCCCCTGTAGCGATACCTGCATTGGTATTATCATGCACTTTTTAAGGCCATATTGTGTAGTGGTCTCTCTACAGTTGTTAGTATTGGATTTGTGAAAACCATATGATTGGTGAATTTGTGGACTAAGAACATACGACCTTAAGGCAATAGCAGTGTTCATGAGGAGTGTTCCATTAACAACTGGCATTAGATGATAAAGGTATCTTGTTATACTGACTGCTGGTGGGAACATAAGTTGTTACAACCATCTTGGAAGTAGATTGATATCTCTTGAAAAGTGTAGGATTCTCATGACTCATCAGTTTGACTTCTCAATATATCCTCTAGAGAAACTCATGCATGTGTACGCCAGGATTCACGTTTAACATTTGTAGCAGAATTATTTGTAATAGCAAGCAAGAAAATTGCTATGTAGAATGGATAAATGGAATGTGGTTTTCAACGGGCCAGTTCTGTACCCCATACCCCCACTGTCAGAGATAGCAGGATGTGGACATAATTTGGTTGTCACAGGTGGGAGGAAGAGTTGCTACTAGCTTCTATGGGGTAGGGGCCAGGGATGCTGCTAAACAGTGCACGGGAAAATCCCCACAACAAAGATTTCTCCAGCCTAAAATGTCAGTACCAAGGTTGAAAAACCCCAATGTTAGGTATTTCTATAAATAGAGAATTTTTTTTTGTCCTCATGTTTATAATTCTGCCCTATCTTATCTCTCGGATATCACTAGAATAATTCTGTGTTCAGCATGTTTTTCCCATGAATATAGTTAATCCCATGACACTTAATTTAATCACTGATGGGTAAATGTGTTGTTTTCATGTCATTTTTAAATTTTTTTTCTAGGCCAGTTGGACAAATGCAAGTAAAAAGCAGCGTGAAAAGCTACTTGAGCTGATACGTCGCCTCGCAGAAGATGATAAAGATGGTGTAATGGCACACAAAGTGTTGAACCTACTGTGGAATCTGGCCCACAGTGATGATGTACCTGTAGACATCATGGACCTGGCTCTCAGTGCCCACATAAAAATACTAGATTATAGTTGCTCACAGGTAAGATGTGCCCCTTTGTTCACTTTTTCTGACATTTGCCTTCATTCTCAGGATGGCTTAGATACAGAATAGTTCCACATCTTTTGATGTTATTTTTGAAATGATCTTCAAGAATTGACTCACTTTCTTCAGTAAGTCTGCCTTCCTCATGTTAGGTCTCTATGTCAAAATTTTGTGTATCATCTGAAAAGCATTTTAGTCTCCTTGGGAGAAAGACAGTATTAAAAAAACAACAAAACAGGTTATATAGTGGTAGTATTGTCAGATGCATGGTGCTGAAATATCAGTTTCAAATAGATCATAAGATATTAAAGGGACTTTAGAGGTAAGAGAATTTGAGTTTTCTTTGCTCACAGGGAAATTAAGAAAAATTAATAGAATTTTCTAAATAGTAAAACATTTTGAGCCTTTCCTTTGAGCAAATCATACAACAGCTTCCCTGGATTCTAACTTGTAGTATGTTAACTATTAACTTATGGTAAAGTGAAAATTGCTGATTAACTAATTTTCCACTTGTTGAAACTATTTGCTACCCTGATGAACTGAAATGTAGGTGGGAGCTAATAAGATCAAGTAGGTGTATGTGATTCAGGTGCCATTCAGGTTTTTTTTCCTATACTTGCTTGTAACAGGTCATTAAACACTTAGTATACCAAATACTAATAAGAAGCTTCAATTTAAATTATTTCATTAAACAGAGACACACACACACAAAGTAATCCAAACTTAAACTTCTTAGGTGCAGAAACCTATATTTCTGATTACTGTTGATTTAGGGGAAGGAGTACATAAGGTATGAAAAGTGAAACATCATATTTGAAATAATTTTGACTTTATAATACTTTTATAACTGCTTTCCTTTTATCTTTTTGTGTATATGTCCATATGTCCTTATATTGATTTTTGGTGGAACTTTTTTTTAACTTAGTTGCCATACCATTATTTTCTTGGGAAAATAGAAATTTTCGGTGTCCCTCACTATGCTAAAACAATCCCATTTGGAATAACAATTGGGGTTATATGTTATTGCTGAATTTTACTATATGATAGAATTCTTTGAAACATTGGATAGTACTGTTTTACTTTTTGTAGTTTTGGTAGTAAATGTGAAATAAAAATGTATTTACTGCTTTTAAACACTGTTAAACTCTTACCTGCAATTACTACATGCTTGTGATGATGATCTTATAAGAAAAGCCTTATTTTATCATTGGAGGTGGAGTTTTCCTGTGTATGACCCATCTAAAACATTGAAATTGTTTGTTTAAGGACCGTGACACACAGAAGATCCAGTGGATAGATCGTTTTATAGAAGAACTTCGTACAAATGACAAATGGGTAATTCCTGCACTGAAACAAATTAGAGAAATTTGTAGTTTGTTTGGTGAAGCCCCTCAAAATTTGAGGTAAGGCTTTTAACAGAAAATTTCAATATTTTTATATTTTATTGAAAAGAAATAGCATTGTCACTTGGTAAAAACAAATTTTTCAAAGGAAAGAGTGGGGAGTTGATAGGCTAAGAGAAGGGTTAATTTGGAACAAAAGATTCCTGTATCATATCTATATCCTTGATTTTATTGATGAGAAGGTATGCCACAATTAAGTAATAAATATCAGAATCAGCAATATTCTGTATTACTCATGAAAGATAAGATACGGTTTAAAATATTTTTTGATTGATTTTAGCTAAATTTCTGTAAAGTGGTCGTTATGTATGTATATATGTATGTATTTATAAATAGTGGTCTTCAAATATAATCCTCTTACATGCCAACTTCTCGTTACTGGAATAATTTGTTCTGGTATTTTCTGTTTATAAGAGTTGGAACAGATAATGTGAAAAGTTAAAAATAATGTGCAGAGAGCTAGGTATAGTACCAAGAATACTTAATAATGGGGTCAGGATTCCTGGGTATAACCCTTGAGTCTAAACAGTCATATCATCTTGTAAAAGATTTACTAATTGAAAGAAACATGTTTTTCTTATGTGTAAAATTATATGATTGCCAAAGATCCTTTGCAGCAGATTATTTAAGATTATGCCCAAGACAGAAAAGGCCATATATATTTTGGTTTCAGTGGTTGAACTTTGTCTCAGTTTTATCCAAAGGCTTGAAAAAATATGAAATTAGAAAAGCTGTAGGGATAAACAGTGAAGGAAATCCGGACATATATCTTATTAACAGTAACATTTATTTGAGGGACATATTTTTATTTTTGGGCCACTGTACATAATGCCTTTTTGCCTTTCTCAAATGAATTAATTTGTCTGTTGTAGAAAGAGCAGTTTCCATACTCTTTCAGGTTACAGTGGCTTCATCTTCACTAGAATAGTAATGGCTCTGAGAGTTTATTGGTTTCAGTGAAGGTATCAGAACAGGTTGGAAAGGGACTAGATGTCTTTCTGGTGTTACCTGTGGGCAAATATAGCTACAAACCAAGTGTCCAGAATGTACCTTGAATGGCGAATAAATAAAATTTTACAGAAAGCATTTTCTTTGATCAAATTCTTCACTATTGTAGCATAATCTTTGTGGTACTAGTCTTTCAAGGATTATGTTCCTGTTCTCTAATTCTGGAAATAATGTGTAAAATTAGACAAGTGCTTTAGTACTACTGTAGTATAGGAGTAGAAATTAGTCGTTGAAGTAGATGCCCATGTTGTGAGATTGGAGAACATTATAGTTTCCATGTAAATAAGAAAAATGGAATAAATGTCTGATTTTTGTGACATTTTTAAAAAATTATTTGATACTGTAATTAAAGTAAATGGCCAAGAGTGTAAGTCTGTCATGAGGAAAACCATTTTAAATTTTTGTAGTAGGAGCTAAGAATTTAGATTGTATAAGCTCTTTTGCTTATAACAGAGTTTAATTGCCTAATTATATTGTTAAGTTCTTCTCGTTTCAGTCAAACTCAGCGAAGTCCCCATGTATTTTATCGCCATGACTTAATCAATCAACTTCAGCACAATCATGCCCTAGTTACTTTGGTAGCAGAAAACCTTGCAACTTACATGGAAAGCATGAGGCTATATGCTAGAGGTATGTATTGTGAGCTCACCCAAAATACAGGAAATAACAGCAATTTCCCAGCATTTTTTTCATCAGTTACCTCACAAATGGACAACAAAAGTATTTTAAAAGATGGATGATAATAGGTCTTATTAACTGTGTTCCTTTATGAGCTTATGTTCCATTTTTACTCTGAATTTTTACCCACTGTAAATTTCAAGCCAGCATTTCACAGCTCTTTCTTAGTGCTTACCTTCCCCAATCCCCTTGTTAAATTGATTTCTTTTTCTTCTCCGGGAGTTCTGCCTGCCTGTACTATATAATTGGTTGTTACCTTCTTTGGAATATACTTGACTCATTCTCAACCTTTGTTTCATTACTACTATCACCTTTATTTTTTCATGAAAATTTGTGTTGTCTAAGTCTGTTCTTGTATATGTTATGGTTCCTTTATAATCCTAATTCCTTATTTCATAAATCTTTCAGACTTTGTGAATTAGAAAATTCACAAGAACAACGATGTGGAACTACAAAAATCCACGTTTATGCTGGTTTTCAAAGTGCGAATTTGTTTAAACGTGTTAGGGTAGAGTTTCCTGAGGTTTCAACAGCCAGTTTTTAAGTTCTTGCCATTATGTGGAGCTCTGTTTCAGTACTCCTTTTTGCCCTCTGGCAGTTGTGTTTATCTGTGTTAGAGTAAGGATGGATTTTTAGTACATATTCCACTGTCTTGTAGGCCCAACCTTGTTCCCATAGTCACAGAAAGAAAACTTTGTACTACCACTGCTAGAAATAGAATTGAACATAATGGTTACTGAACATACTACTGATTTAACATTTTATAGTAGATAAGAGTCTGCAGAAGCCAATAGTTATTTTATATTTCTAATACTCATTATCTGAAGAGTAGATTAGAATCTTGGCATTCTTGAATAAAATCCCAAGATTCTTATAAATCATAGGATTTGCTTTAACACAGGATGTATATGTATATTCCCATCTAAAATCCAGATAAACATAATGGAAAAATTAAGCAGCTCTTCAGATATGCCTACTAATTGTATTGACTCCTTTGTTCTTCAATTTACCCACCTCTGGGCCAGCTGAGACCTAGGCAGTAGATTGTAGAGCTAGATAAGCAATCTAAGCATCAGGTGACTGATAGGCACCAGGCAATGAGCTTGTACCGTTTCAGGCCTGAGTTCCTTCTAAGTAGCATGATAAGATGATCAGAGCAATATTGGCACATGACCATGTAATTTATGTTCTGTGCCAAATGCAACCAAAATCTGAGAGAAGTACAGGAGGTTTCCATGTAATACACCCAATCAATCACTCAAGCATCTGGGCTCAGTTTAACATACTGCAGATTTGTTGTCATGGTCTCATCTCTTCTTGCTGGTACAAAGTCCTCACAAGTGCCATTGCAGGCCTTCCCCCGAAATGGAGCCATATAAATCCTATGTGCTACAATGCTAATTTTTACTTACTTCCTTTGTATGTGATGTTTCGATTCTTTTCATTGCCAAAAGTTGAGTACTGTGCTGTTGGGGCAGTCAGGAGATGATGGTGCATGTGCAGTTCAGCCTCGTTAGGGTTTCCGGCTTTGTTTTAGTCAAATTCTGCATGAATCATTGCCTCATCTCAATTGTATTGTCATACGAAGGTTTTCACTCTTCAGTTTTCCCTCCTTAAATTATCCGTAGCTCCATAAAATTAGAGGTATGACTCTTGGATACAAGTCAGATTGTCTAGATTTGAAAATGACTATAAACATATTAGGTGTATGACCTTGGGCAAGTTATGTATGCTAGAACAATGCCCGGCATATAGTATTAAGCTCTTGGATTTTTGTTACTGATGTTCCCCTAAATTCATTGACACACCTTCTGTTTCTCCTAACTTTGATAACTTTTCCTCTATTACAATACTCTACTGAATAATACCAAACGGTCAGTCTACAGATCCTTAAATATGGGGAAAGGGGGTGGTATACTTTTTAAAACTAGTAAAATTCTCCTGTTATAATAAACTCTCTGCAGTAGTAAGTCACTTCTGTGGTAATATCAACCACCAATTTCTGAATTTGGAATTCTAAAGTAAATTACAGTCTTTGTCTCTGTATAATGGAAGTATTCCATAGATCTCATTAGGTATGAGACCTATTATTCACAGGATGACATCAAGCTTCCACAATTTTCTGGTACTCTTAATTTCTGATAACTATTATATCAGTATTACATATTTGTCCTGCCCATATTTCATCTCCATCAACATCTTTAGTTTTGGAATAAACGTTTTTACAGTAGTATGGTCAGCTGACTCTACCTCCTGTTTTAATATTATGTAGATAAAGTAATGAATTTATTAAAATTATCTCCAATATTTACTCATGTGTTCTCACTAGTGGTGTCTTCAGATACTGGTGGTTACAAGTCATTCTTTAAAAGTTTTTTAGTGCAGACAACAATGTAGAAGACCACTTTTAATTTTCACTCACCTTTCGCCTTATTGGTAGGGTAGTCATTGTATTTTTTTTTTTTTTTAAAGATTTTATTTATTTATTTGAGAGAGAGCAAGCACATGAGAGCGGGGAGGGTCAGAGGGAGAAGCAGACTCCCTGCTGAGCAGGGAGCCCGATGCGGACTCAATCCAGGGACTCCAGGATCATGACCTGAGCGGAAGGCAGTCGCTTAACCAACTGAGCCACCCAGGCGCCTGTCATTGTATTAACTTGAACCCTTATTGATAGTTTTATTTACCATTTTTCCTGGTTTCTGCATAGAGTTACAGGACTCATCTTCATTATATATCATTTTTTTGCATCATGTTTTCTAAGGACTACCACTTCCAGTGACCTCTTCCCAATCATTTACATCCAGTACTGGAAATTTTGGGGAACATTTTTCCACATAAAAGATTTCTTCGTGAGCATCATTCACCAACAGTGCTCTCTGTGTTAGGGTCAAATCCTGGTCTAGACTTTCTCAGCTGTGGCTCATTCCTACCCATCAGTCATGAAATACAGTGAAATCTGTGTGGGCTCTTTGTGATTCAAAAAAAATTGAGTATTCATTTTATAAATAGCTTATTGTAGTTCTCTAGAGTAATGGTTATATTCAGGGCCTGGTGTAAGGAAAGTACATAAGATGGTCCTTCAACATCTTATTTTAGAAAGTTAGAAAGGGCTTGAGGAATTTTGTTAAGGGCGCCTGGATGGCTCAGTTGGGTGAGCGTCTGACTTTTGATTTTGGCTCAGGTCATGATGTCGGGGTCATGAGTTCAAGCCCCGGAGTCAGGCTCTGCACTCCGCAGGGAGTCGGCTTGCGATTCTCTATCCTCTCCACCAACCCCCCCCCCCATCCCTGTCCCCCCGCTCGCTTGTGCACATTCTCTCTCTCAAATCTTAAAAAAAAAAAAAAAATGTTGACATGTCAAAAACAAATAAGAGTTGGCTCTTACTGGCCAAAATTAGGTCAAAATAAATAATAAAAATAACTAAACCCATTAAATAAAATACAGACCCCTGCGTCCATGCTGAAAGAAAGGGAAGTGTACCAACTAATACATGTAGAACATGTGATGATGATAATAGAAATCCACGGGATGAGGGGTTTAATTTTTTGAATGGTGGGAGTAAGATGCTCAGTGGACCTTATTTTTTTTTTAAGATTATTTATTTTATTTATTTTTAAGATTGATTTATTTGTTTATTTGAGAGAGAGAATGAGAGAGAGCATGAGAGGGGGAGGGTCAGAGGGAGAAGCAGGCTCCCTGCTGAGCAGGCAGCCCGATGCGGGACTCGATCCCAGGACTCCAGGATCATGACCTGAGCCGAAGGCAGTCGCTTAACCAACTGAGCCACCCAGGCGCCCCAAGATTATTTATTTTAGAGAGAGGATACAAGAGGGAAGTGAGAGAGAGGGAAAGAGAGCAAGAATCTCAAGCAGACTGAGCGTGCAGCCCAGCGCGTGGCTCGATCTCACAACGCTAAGATGATGACCTGAGCCGAAATCAAGAGTTGGACGCCTGACCAACTGAGCCACCCAGGCGCCCCTCAGTGGACCTTCTCCTTAACAAAACAACCATTTCACTGAAGTTTTAAATAATATCGAAAGTACCTGGGAATTATTCTAAGGGGATACAGAAAATAGGGAAACAGTTTTTCAAGAAAATCTCTTGAGGAGAATAGCAAGAATCTGTAGCATTAGAGCCACAACTTTTACTCCCTCTCCCCACAGCTGCCAGTCTAGGGCTGTGGTTCCACCGTAAGAAGGGCAGGCTGTTGGCATTTATTATCTTGCCCAGTTATATTTTACAGAAGTTCTATTCTAAGGCAGTCATGGTAGAACAGAGACTCCCTTATCCTGCACAGTCTACTCATAGGGCTGAAGCTTTACTTTAGGCATGGCAGTCTGAGGATACTGAAGTTCAGATTACTCCCATTGCAGCGTACTATGTCTTAAGTTGGATATTCTGTGCCTAGAGGGACAAACTGAGAAAATCAGGGGCTATTACCATTTCCCACATACCAGCACCACTCATAGAGCCAGAGGGATCACTCTGGGAGAAGCTGCTTGCCAAGTTGTCACCAGCTCCTGTGCAGTGGCACAGAAGTTCTGCCCAGAGGGAGAGACAGGCTGTGAGGACGAAGAACTGAGCAGTTAGGCTTGAAGGGGTTGACCTTATTTGGACCAGAGCATACCATTCCTAAGAGTGTTATTAAAAGCAGTGGAAATTTTGGTGAAGAGCAATTAAGAGGGAGCTTGTAGTTCCGTGTACTCATATTAACCAACGAACCTGCATAGCAACCAAAAGTTTAACAGAGAGATCTAGATAAAGACAGCCAAGATGAGCCCTCCTGGGAACACAGTCAACCCTAGGGGGGTCACAAATGTTCTGCACATTCATTAGATTGCACCCACTCAGAAGCAATCAGAGCAAGACATGGACAAGTTGAAAACATTCTTCAGTTCACACACCAATCCATCAGCAAAGGTTGTAAGCTTCACTGGCTCAAGGACTTAAAT